GCTCCTAAGTCCAAAATCACCATACGGAGCTGTTGGAATCATCAAAATTCTATTCCGGGGTCATTTGCACATAATTTGACATCCGGTCACTATTTGAACTTAAACTTTTAATTTTTTATCAAAATTCTATATCTTTGGCTAGGGACCTCGGAATTTGATTCCTGGCATACGCCTAAGTCCCAAATCACGATACAGACCTACCAAAATTGTCAAAATACTAATCCGACTCTGTTTGCTCAAAATGTTGATCAAAGTCAACTTAGTTGAGTTTAACGCTCTAATTTACATTTTAATTCATTTTTCACCTGAAAACTTTCCGAAATATTTTTACGGACTGCACGCTCAAATCGAGTAATGGTAAATAGTGCTTAGATCACATAATTAAATCATTAAATTTCAAGATGACATTTTGGGTCATCACACTGGATGTCTTTGCCCCATAACATTATAGTTGTTCCCACCTTGGTAGTTTTCTCTATTATAGTTCCACACAACGTTGACTTCCTCAGCTGAAGATTGACACTTATGTGTAGGGTGTCCCATTCCACAAAAGTCACATGCTGCTTGCGGCTCACTCTGTACCTTGGCCAATGTCAATTTTCTTATATCCTTGGTCATGATGTTTAGCTGGGCTTGCATGGATGTGTTAGAGTCCACCTGGTGAACCCCAACTGATATTCTTCTATCATTACTCTCAGTCGGCAACTGGTTAACATCCTCAGATAATTCATCAAGGATTAAGACAACTTCCTTCGGAGTTTTCTTCATTAGTGGACCTACATATGCAGTATTCAAAGTTCGTCGCGAGGAAGGTGTCAGTCCATCTCAAAAATCTTGGAGTTGCATCTCCAAATCAATTCCGTTGTGCTGATACTTTCTGACTATCTCCTTGAATCTTTCCTAAGCTTCGAAAACCGTTTCTGTCTCCTTTTGGCAGAAATTATGCATTTCCCTTCTGAATTTCCCTGTTTTTGCAGCTGAGAAGTACTTGTCAAGAAACTTTTTGGTCATATCTTCCCATGTCCTGATCGAACCTGTGAGTAAGCTACGAAGCCAGTGTTTCGCGTCATCTTTCAATGAAAAAGGAAATGTCCTTAAGTAAACCGCATCTTTTGATACTCCACTGTATTCGAAGGTGTTAATGATTTTTTCAAAGTCCATCAAGTGAGTGTTAGGATCTTCATTTACCTTCCCTCTAAAGATAAAGTTGTTTTGGATGGTTTGAAGCAAGCCTTGCGTCAGCTCGAAGTTATTTGCTGCTATGGATGGAGGTTTGACACTTGACAGTTCTTGATTGTAGACTGGTCTGGCATAGTCACCCAATGATCTTCAGGCCTTGGTGTTGTATTCTCAAACTGGTTTTCAACCAAGGGTCGGTTTAGATTGAGTCTTTGACCCCTAGCATCTTCGATAGTGTTCTCAGTAGCTCTGAGGGCTCCTTCAGCTACTATCCGTGCAGCTTCTTGTTGTGCTGCCTCTCTTGCAGCTAAGTCTAATCCATCAATCTCTTTGTTTTCCATGTTATCTTGAGTCGAAGTATGACCCAAGAAATTTTCTGTTAATTCTCTTTCTTTTCTCAATTGTCGCAGGTGATTCTCCAACTCTGGTTCATAAGGTATCACTTTCTGAAGAAGATCGAGTCATACACCAGAGAAATCAAACATATATCCTGCACACAAGTGAGAAAACGTGAATAACTAAAGTAAAAATTGGTTCCTGAATTAGTACTAAAAACTATTTTAAATACTATTGATTGCCAATCTCTTGCAACAACGCCAAAATTTTACGAGCGCAAAACACAACACAAAATTATTGCTCGCTAGTCAAAGATAGTATAGTTTAATTTTCGTCTCCACATGGATTGAATTTAAATAATGTTTGAATAATTTTCAGTTGATTACTATCCAGAAAAATTAACACTTGATTTGATGACTATTACTATTAAAAATTAAGCAAGTAACAATTGACCACAAAGGACAGCATATGAGCAACGACGAAATATCAACGAGAGAAATAAGGGTAACTGACTAGATAGGTGCAAAATAATTGACTCGGGATCCAATTCTTGAGTTAGTTCACTCTATAATACAGTTGAATCTCACGAATTCAATAGATAATCAGATTACACTTGAAGTTAATGTTCCTCTTTCGAATAAATGTTAATTTCAGTAATTAATCCAATTGAAGCATGGTAAACAATTGCAACAATAAAATGATGGTTATGATCTAAAGGGTAACTTTTCACGAATATTTTCCTACGTTCTAGTTCGATTAATAATTCAAGAGGCTCATTCGATTACCTATTTGAATCACGAATTTAAACTAGATTATAAGATGTAAAGCAATTCAATATCAAAGCTCCTCTTTCTATTAAGCAAAATAAGAAATAACTCCACAATACGAATTAAAACTCCATCAATTAATTTTAACGATTATCAAGAATCGAATCCTTAATCAAGTTATCAAAACACCATATCTGTCAATACCCTAATGGAATTTACTCCATAGCAATGGAAAAAATCATCTCAATGGGATTTAAAAACATAGAAGACATCAATGATAATGATTCGATACAAACTCTCGTATTGCACCATTGGTTGAAATCTTGATGAATTCTTGAGTCTTCTTGCCTTGGTTGGTTCTCAAATCTTTCGTAGGTCAAAAGTCCCTTCAAAAATATATTTTGGTATATTTATACCCTGTAGGAATGGGTCCGGATAAAACTACCCTTTCCTAGCCGAAATAGGAAATAACCCTGACAAAATTGTACACTCCCGCCATGCGGCACACTTGTAAGGATATTTAGAGAGCATGCAAAACGCCTATCAGACCCAGTTTACACTGCCGCAGCGCGACTGTGTCTTTTTCTTATAGTAAATTATTTCATCCATTTTTTGACATCCATACTTGGTCCTCGACCCCCGAACGTGATCCCAACTTAATTTTTTGGGTTTCTACTCAAGACTTCAAAGATCCAACTTGTTCGATTTAGCTCCAAATTACCTTAATAACTCGGGATCATTTCTTGCAAGACATAAAACACGTAATAAGTGTAATTCACTATCATTTAAGCTCAAGCACAAGTAAAATACAGTAATTAGAGTGCAATACTATGGCTAAAATACGGGTTTCTAGCTTACCATCACCAGCCACCCCTCTCTCTCTTCTCTTCTGTCATCTCCACTGTTAGATCCAAATCTGAAAATCACGAAATCATGATAGGTCCATTATATTGCTCATATATATCTTTTTCAAGTTTGACTAACTGTAATTTTCAAAAGAAAAAGCAAGTGACTTCTTTTTTCTCAAGGAAGAACTACAAGTGTGATCTTACTGCGACTTTAAGAGGCGTTGAAATCTGGGCTAGAATATTCATTACCGGCAGCGAAAATGCCATAATGCATTTTCAAATCTATCCGGATTTTTTGTTCGTCTCCATTTTTAATTCTAATATAATATATATAATATTTTGCTTGGCCGGAAGACGCGATCTCTGACGATACAAATACATTATATTATGTACAAATGCACACAAATTTGAGTAGATATTGTATTTTTCAATGCAAATACAATTTATTTTTTTGTATTTTCGCATGTATTTATGTATTCCGAAGGTTATTTTTATGGTAGATCCCTGTATTTTTTGAATTTTAGTTGTAATACAGCCGAATTAAATACAGTGAATTGAATACAGTGTAAAAGCAACTACAAATGAATATAGTGAATTAAATACATCCGAATATCACTGTTTTTGTGATTTTTTGTTGTTTGAATACAGTCGAATTGAATACAATATAAAATAATTAAGAATGAATACAACCGAATTGTAGCCGAATTGAATACACCCTATTTTTTGATTTTTTGTTGTTTGAATACAACTGAATTCAATACAGAAAAATTGAATACAATGTAAAATATATAAGAACGAATACATTCGAATTGAATACATCGACATACATTCCATGACAAGCAATTAGTAGCTACGGAATGTTATTAGCTAAATTATAGCTACGCCGAACAATAGTCATTAAGTTCCCCTAAGAAAAAAAGAGAATTCAAATTTAGTTTGAACTAAAAGTCAAACCTGTGCGAATATTCTGAAATGGATAAAGAACATAGTATTGCAATCTAAAATAACTTCGTTTTTCTTGATCCGTCTGACCCTCTTTATAATTTTAAGAAATTGCGAATTATATTGTTTGACACTATTTTTAAGTTAATAATATTTTGATATACGTTTTCACACGCTTTAAAAGTTTAAGTTCGTTTACTTAGTCGCCAGATTTATATTCGAAGTAAAATCCTCTCTTTCAAACTAACTTTTCAATATTTATTACAATATTATTTTTTCTTCTACATAAAGTAGATAATATTTTGTCTATTTTTTCATTGATAACATCTTGTATTTTCTTTAATTCAATTTAACTTTAAATTACTTAGACGATAGAAATTATTATTTGATCATGGAACGCTTGTTATCCATCACACCTTTACTTGTGATTTAGTACATGAACCAAAGACTACAAAGAAATTTTGTGAGCCCCCCAATAAAGACTAAAGAGGACGATGACCAAATTAAGACCAAACCGTAAAGGTAAATTATGCGTAAAAAACAAGAAAATTTGTACTTGCCTATCTGCAGAACTGGAGGCATCTTATATTCTTATTGAGAGATATACATCTCAAGAACAAAGAGAATTAACATAATTAATCTCAAAGAATATTAGTTTGACTTAGTCAATTGTCTCTTCTTCTTAGCCTCTCCCCTTTGTTGCCATTTGCTTTTATTTCATGACCCACGCCCACCCCGCCCGGCCAACAATAAATATAAATAAAAACCTTATAAAACTCATGATTAATTTGCTGATGTAACTACGTGTTTACCCACCTCATTTCCTCTATTTTCCAAATAGTACTGCACCTCATTTCCTTCCTAATTCCGTCATACATTAAACACAATTAACCTTTCTCTCTCATGGGACAAAGGGAAGATGGAAAAACTCTAAGTGATGAATATGAAGTGACAGATATACTTGGAAGAGGAGGGTTTTCAGTAGTGAGGAGAGGAACAAGAAGAAGAACACTACATTCGGGTCAACATCATGAAGTTGTTGCCATTAAAACCCTCCGGCGGTTCGGGCCACCACCGGCGCCGGAGAAGAAGTCTCTTAATAAATCTCGAGTACCACAGGCGGCTTTGATATCCGAAACTCTACTGACGAACGAGCTGTTAGTCATGAGGAAGATCGTCGAAGATGTTTCTCCTCATCCTAACGTCATTCATCTCTACGACGTTTGTGAGGATCCTTCTGGAGTTCATCTCATTTTGGAGCTTTGCTCTGGTGGTGAGCTCTTTGATCGGATTGCTGGGCAAGCAAGGTATAGTAATATATGTTCTCTATAACACCATTTCGCCGTAACAACCAAAAAAATAACGAAGTTGTTTATATATATGTGTTTTAGGTGTTTGAGGACGCAGAGTTTTAAGAAATATGGTAATTTTTCTAACAGGTATAATGAGGCTGGGGCTGCTGCTGTGGTGAGACAGATAGCTAAGGGGCTAGAGGCGCTACACGGGGCAAGTATAGTTCACAGGGACTTGAAACCAGAGAACTGTCTATTCTTGAACAAGGATGAGAATTCACCGTTGAAGATTATGGATTTTGGGCTGAGTTCTATTGAGGATTTTGCAAATCCAGTGGTTGGTTTGTTTGGTTCCATAGATTATGTATCACCAGAAGCACTTTCAAGGGAAAATATCACCACTAAAAGTGATATTTGGTCACTTGGTGTTATCCTTTACATTCTCCTCTCTGGGTTAGTATGCTTTCTTTTGTCTCCGAACTTTACTTTAAACTAGAGAGGATTTGAGACTTATAAATTAACTAACCAAACAGGTTGAGAATTTCTTTCATGTTCCAAATTACTTGTTAATATATTTATGAAAGTTGGAACAAAAATTAGTAGTTCATTCCTGGTCATTCAACTATCCCAAATTATCTGCTAAAGTCACTTTTCTTTCGTTTGTTACAACAAATTCACTTAACTTTGCATATAGCACTCACAATGTCACTCAATTAGATTTTCCAAATTTTTAATTGTCAAATACCTATTTTACCCTCTAAATTATCAATTTTTTAAACTTTTTATAAGTTTTTTCTCTTTTTAATCTACATTGTGGACTTACCTATAGAAAAATATTTTTTATTTATAAAATAAAAAATAAAAAATTAGTTTTCAGCTCATATAATGACGGAATAATAATATAAGCATAAATTTCAACCATATATAATGTATATTATAAAAATACCTTTATTTAAATAATTATTTTTATATTACGTGCATGGAATATATATTTTACAACCTTTATTTTCTTTCATTCTCAATTGTGTAAATAAATTTTTTAATTTTTGTTGTTAATACTAATTATTACGAAGAAATTATTCTAATTAATTTTTTTACTATGCTCATTATTTTGTTATTCGAACATTATATATGCTTAAATAATTTTTATTTTTTTAATTTATAAATAAAATTTATTTATTATATAGGTAAATCCATAATATAAATTAAAAAGGAAAAAATCATAATATTAAAAAGTTAAAAAAAATAAAAAGAAGATAAATGTTTATAATTTAGAGGATAAAATCGGTATTTGACAATCCAAAATTTGAAAAATCTAATTGAGTAAAATTCTGAGTGCTATAAGCATAGTTAAGTGACTTTATTGTTACAAAAGAAAGAAAAGTGACTTTAACAGATAATTTGGGATAATTGAGTGACCATTTGAGCAATGAACTCCAAAAATTAATAGTTTAGTTTACTTGCAAAAAGGTGTTAAAGTACTCCGGTATATAGTAACGAAGAGCTTTCAGTGTTTCAAAAAGTGATATTCTTGGAGTTGAACTCATAATCTCATATCAAGGTTCGGTTTGAAGATTAATTTGGGTAGACTTCATTAGGTACTAATCACCACCTCAATTATTGGAAGGTACAGAATTTTATTATATTGCTTAATTTACATATATATTTAAATGATTATGGTATCCTATCTAAGCTGGAAATATACAAATGATCTCAATTCCTAAAATTTCAATGAGCTACATTTTAGTTATTTGACTTGGATGAGGGAACATACCTTCCCCAGTTTCTCCCTTCA